ATTATGTATTAGCCCTGTGCTTGTTTTATGCCGTACTGTCTATATGTGTTTCTTAAAAACACAAAATACAGAAGTTTTCTGATCTTTCATGGGGTTGTGGGGGGGTAGCATTCGGCTTAGGCATGAAGGCAGCATGAGCCTTACCTGGCTCTAAGAGCTAGCTCTGGCTCCTGAGGCCTTCTTGCCACAAATGCAGACCCTGAAAATGTTTAAAGTCAGTGGGTTCCCGCCACTCATGTAGGACTCCTGAACTGAGTTCCTGGTCCCTGACTTCCGCCTGAGCAGTGAAAGCACTTGAGGAGTGAACCAGCACATGGGAGCTCTTTCTCAGTCTCCATCTGCCTCTTAAATAAATTCATTTTAATAAGGTGGAAAATTAACCTGACACACCACCACACCAGCCCCAATGACCATTTCTAACTACCCTTATGGGGTTATATAAATTTATTTAATTGCTTTGTGTCTCAATTTCTTCTTCTATTAAAAAAAGGGATTAATACCAGTACCTACAATATGTGTAAAGTCCTAAGATTATCTGCACATCTAAACTCCCAAACAATTTATCAAGTTTGCCATTATTCATAACTATTGTAGCTATTCTTGGGCTTTTATATATTTTCAGTAGACTTTTCACATCCATTTGCCACATTGCTTAAAAATCTTTGAGATTTTTACTTAAATCACATTAATATCTCACAAACTACACCTGATATTTATAAAGGGACAACTGTACCTACCTACAATGTCAGGATACACTTAAATGGTAGAACAAGAGACTTATAACTGCTTTTTGAGGGACTGTATAATTGCAATATTAGAAAAATCAGTGGCAGGAGGAGGGAAGGGGAAGTCCCAGAGCCTTTGGAAGTGAATCATAAAATAAATTAATTTTTAAACAGATTCTTTAAAATCAGCAACTATTAAACACACACAAACACACACACATACACAAAAGAGAGAGCTAGTAGTCACTATTTCACTCACGTGATCACCAGCCACAGAACCACCTAACAGGCCTGATATGGTGCAGCAGGAAGTGTGCAGCATTCCCTGTGAAGTCATTCTGAAATAAATATCTAACTCAAACTTAAACTGAACATGTAGACCTAACTCTAACATGCAGGAAATGCAGGGGAAATATACAAATCAAATCATAAAAGAAATAACCAAACAAACTCAGAATGTAGAACGTTCTGTAAGACAATGATCCATCTCTTAAAAAGTCAATGTGGGGTGGGTATTTGGCCAAGGGTTTAAGTCCAGCATTAAATTCTCTGACTCCCCTGCTTAGGATCCACCTTCCTGCCAAAGTACATGCTGGGAGACTACAGATGATTGCTTACTTGGGTCCCTACCATGAGTTTACGACACCAGGATGAAGTTTCAACTTCAGCCCAGCCCAACCCAGGTGTTAAGGGCATTTGGGAAGCAAACCAGTAAATAAGAGCTCTCTCTTTAAAATAAAGGGAAATTAATACAGAAAAATGTTAAATAATAAGTGCTTAAAGACAATTAATGTTATTAGAAAGAAAAGTGACCAGCTGTCATAAACTAGGAAAAATCAAAGAGATGACAGATAAATGCATACCTGGTACTGGACCCTAATTTGAGGGTTGAGAGACAATTACAAAAGCGTTTGTGGGCATAATGGGGAAACTGGATATTAAATCACATGAAGAAATTACCGTAAATTTTTCTTAGATGTAATAATGCCGCCAAGTAGGAACATGTCCTCATTTTCAGGAATTACATATTATTCAATTCTATAACTTAAATGCAAAGGAGAACAAAAACAAAAAGCACAGAGAAAAAAAGAATGGCAAAATACTAACAATTTTGAATTCAGGCAGAACATAAATATGTAGTACATTTTTAGAGTTCTTGTAAAGTTTATGTATTTTGCTTTTTTCCTAGTAAAAAGTTTTACAACATAAATTGCATTAACTTTATGAAATAATTTGCAAGAGTGTCCCATCTAGAGTTTTCTATTTATTTATATCTTCTTTTATGAAGATTTTACAACTTTCTCCATAAAAAACTTCTCATGTATCTCTTAAGATTTATTTCAAGAAACTCTGTGATGTGATGCTTTTTAGAAATGGCATCTTTATAAGCTGCCTTTTCAAATCACCTCTTTTCATACCTATGAAGTAAACTACTTAAATATTTTGATGATTTTTTTTGAACACCTGCTCTCCTTTAAAAGGCAGAAGCACCCAAATCAATTCAAATAAGCCAAGAACCAAACATTGTATTGCACACTCAAAGAGATGCTTTATGAAATAAAAGACTTATTTCTTAGAGCACCTGAGGTTTCACAGCAAAGTTAAGAGGCAAGGACACAGACGGCCCTTCATTTCCTTACCCCTGCTCAAGCTGAGATTCCTTCCTTACCAAAATGTCCTTCCCAGAGTTGTTACAACTTGTTACAACTGATAAAGTTAGAGTGACACATCACAGTCAGCCGGGGTCCACAGTTCACATTGGGGTTCACTCCATCGTACACTCTACACAGTGGACAAAGGTAGTGATATGCATCCACCATTAGAGTATCATGCAGAGTATCGTCACTTCCCGAAAGTTCCTCTGTGCTTCTGCTCCTGATTCTTCTCCCTCAATCTAATCACTAGGAGAAACTCATTGCTGCATCTATAGAAACTTCTTTTCCAGAATATCATACAGTTGGAATTACACAGTCTGTAGTCTTTTCATAGTGACTGGTTTCATTTAGTAATATGAATTTCAGACAGCCCCATGTCTTCATGGCTGGAGAGCCCATTTTATTTTAACTGAATAACACTGTCCAGCTGTACCATGGTTTATTTATTCACCTACTGAGGGACAGCTTGGCTGCTTTCAAGTTTTGCCAGTTATGAATAAAGCTGCTATAAACATCTGTGGGCAGATTTTTGTGTGGGCTTTAAGTTTTCAAGTCCTAGGAGTAAATATGAAGGAGTACAAACGCTGGCTTATACAGTGAAACTGTGTAGAAAACTGCCAAACTGTTTCCCAAGTGTCTGTATCACTTTGCATTGCCAACAGCAATGGATCAGAGTTTATTTTGCTCCCCATCCCTACAGTTTGGGGTTGTCAGCCTGAACCCTGCACACGAAAGGCCAGCTGAAGCCCCACTCTACTGCCTGCCCCTTAGATTTCTAAGTTCTCTCTAGAGAGTGCACTTCCTTTGGTCATAAAACTCACTAAATGACCAGGACTGTGACACAGTAAGTAAAGCCATTTGCCTGGGACTCTGACTCCTCATCTGAGTGTCAGCTCATATCCTGCTGCTCCACTCTCAATCCAGTGCCTTGCAGAAAGCCTGTGTAAAGTGGGAAATGGCCCATCTGCTTGGGTCCCTGCCAACTGCATTGTGCAGGGGGAAGGAAAAAGAGGGTATGAGAATGCACAGGAAGCTCCTGGCTCCTGGCCCCAGGTTCAGTGTTGGTCAACCATTTGGGGAATGAATCAGTGGCTAGAAGACTTCTGTTGTCTCTCCCTCTAATTCTGATTTTCAAAAAAGAATACATAAATTTTAAAACAAACAACTTTAAAAACTGCTTCAAATAGTGCTACTTAACAATGAATCTAATCTATGGCAACTTGCCTGGTCATTAAGGGTCTCACATTCAAGGCAATATAGTTTATGAAGAGTGATTAAAAGAACAGAAAATAGAAATGGAGATGCATAAATCGCTACTGTCTAATACAACTGATAAACCAAGAGAACATATATTTCTTTAAGTCATTTAAAACACTCTTCCAATAATGATACAAACACCAAATCATAAAATCCCAAGCAAGACATTTTAAAGGTCCCAGATGGCTCCTATTACTTTCTGGAACTTTGAGAATCTTGCACTTCTCACCAAATCAACAGCTAAGAAACATTAACAGCAAAGTATTCCTTGCTCTGAAACTGAAAAAGAAATGTTTCTCTTAAATGTTTATGTAATTATTCTTTTATTGGAAAAACTGAATATATAGAAGAAGGAGGGACAGAGATCTTCCCTGTCCACTGGCTCATTCCCCCCACAAACAGTCACAATGGCCAAGGCTGTGCCAGATTAAAGTCAGGAGCCAGGAACGTGTTTGGGTCTTCCATGAGTGCAGAGGCCAGAACGCTTGGGCCATCCTCCACTGCTTTCCCAGGTGCACTGGCAAAGAACTAGATCAGAAGTAGAGCAGCCAGGTCTGAAGCTGGGATCCATGTGGGAAGCCAGTGATGTACTCAGCAGCTTAACCCACTAAGCCACAACACTGACCTTTAGTTTTTCTTATTGAAAATTAAATCAATGCTTTGGATTTACAACAGACTGGCATTATCTTCCTGAACAACTAATTAATTTGTGCAACCACCTGTTAGAGGTCTTAACACATGTTTTGATTTGTTGCAGTAAAATCAATCTGAGAAGCTAGGAATTTAGATACTACAAATTTTACCACTCAGGATGTGTGTGTAGGAAAAAAAAACCTGAAATCCTTTCTAACCCAATGAAACTAGAAAAGAGGCGGGGGGGGTGCCAATCTAGGCATGAAGGTGACACTTGGGGCACTGGCATCCTGAATGAGAATGCCTGGGTTTGAGTCTCAGTTCCACTCCCAATTCCAGCTTCTTACTAACCTGCAGCCTGGGAGAGACAACAGGCAGTTGAGTCCCTGCAACGCCTAAGGAAGAACTGGACTGAATTCCTGATTCCTCAGCCATAAGGGAGGTCAACCAGGAAATGCAACATTTGTCTTATCTCTTTTTGTCTCTCTAGACTTAAAACATAAGTTATTAAGTAAATAAAAGGAGTCAAGAAATGATCAACACATCTAGTCTTCTCTATTGGCTTAATTTGAGTGGCCTTCTTTGCCCAAATAGCATCTCAATTTTCCATTCCTTTGCTCCCTTCAAAAGATGTCCTGTAAACTCTCCGTACGAAACACCAAGTACAACTTGTTAATAAAAAAGGAAATAAGCACAAGAGGATGGGGAGTACACCAAGGAGAGGACTTACTGGACAAAAGTATGTATTCTCCACAATGTGATGGGCCACCATGGTGTTTTCAGCAGAGAGAGACATGATGAATAGCAAGGCATCCCGAGCCTGCTGGCCCACTGTCCCTTCTCGATGAATGAAGGGAATCAGAAGGGAAAAGATGAGGAAGTTGGCAGCTCCCTGGTCCTCACTGGTGTGGAAGAAGAGCTCCAGGATGGAAGGATCTTTGGCAAGGATGGAACACAGCTGATTGAGCAGGACCACCAGCTTCCCCTCCACAGCTGGGGTGGTCGTTCCCGAGCAAGAGCTCAGCAGCATCATCAGGGGCTTCAGAACGGGCTTGTGGTGCAGCAGGGGCTGGCGGGACTGCGTCACCAACATCTCGTACATCTTCAGCTGCTCAATTTTAGTCTCGTCAGTGAACTCCCGTCTCAAGCTCCAAAGGAAGAGTTTCTCCATGATGTTCTCGGACACCACAAATTCCAGAATTGGCCCCATGGCAGCATCCCTGGCTTGCTCTTCAATGAGCAGGAACAGCATGTGCTCTACATAGTTCTGCACCGCGCTGGCCTCGTCAGAAGGGATGGATCCATATTTTGCCTGGGTGTTCTTCAAGGGGTCATGCTTCTCTAAGATTTTTAGAACCTGAAACCACACAAAACATTGGTCATCTCTCTGATGTTTATCACAGTTACAGAAGCACATCCCAGTCTTTCACAAAACCTCAAGAAATACAGGAACCACTGCCCACAAGATATATGTGAGCACTGTCTCTCTCCTTCTCTCATAAAAGTTAAGATGAAAGGGCTAAACTACAGAAAGAAGATATTACAAGACATAAACTTGTTACAGAAATCAGACTGGTACAGCATTTAAGATGTCACATGGGATGCGGACATGCTCTATCAGAATCCCTAGAATCAATCCCCAGCTTCAAACTCAACTCCAGCATCCTGCTAATGCATACTCCGCACGGCTGCAATGGCGGCTCAAGTGGCCCACACCAGAGTCTCAGACTGAGTTCCAGATTCCTGGTTTTGGCCTGGCCTAACACTAACTATTGCAGGCATTTATGAAGTGAACCAGTGGATAAGAGATTTCCTTCTCTATCTCTCTCTCCTTCCCTACTTCCCTCAAATAAATAAGTAATTTAAAACAGCTACAAAATATGTCAGCCTAAATCTCAAACAAAATGGTATGATTATGCAAATTGTCACATACACTCCTTAGACTAGCATTACAAAGACTACGGAGCAACATGACAAATTACACATGGTATGTTAGATGAGAAAAGAAAAGCAGCCTGTTTGTTGGATCTATAATTATCACCTATGTCAAAAAATAAACATGAAAACAGTGAAAGGAAACTGAAAAAAACAATCGTTATTAAAGTGATGACAAGTCCTTAAATCTTTTCTCCACTGTCAATATGCTCCTAAAATGTTAAAGTGCATTAAAAAAAAATAAAAGGAAAACACGACTTTTCATATTCTGCTACAGAGTTATTCTGGAGATTTCAGCAGAGTTACACAATGACTCACATGCATTTCTTCAAAAGAAAAAAATGGACTTATTTGAAGGAAAAGCAGAGAAAGGGATCTCCCATCAGGTTCATACCCCGAATGCCCACAACAGCCAGGACTCAGCAAGACCACAGCTAGGAGAGCTCAAGCCTCCTTCTAGGTTTCCCAGCTGAGCGGCAGGAACCCAAGCACATAGGTCATCATCTATCCGCTGCCTTCCCAGGCACATAAACAGGAAACTGGATCAGAGGCAGAGGATTTGGGACTCCCACAGTCACATTGATAAGGAATAATCCACCAAGCCACAATACCCGCTGTTACTCTGACCAAGTGATATCCTTCCATGCTCTCCTCAGATGAGCCACCTTTTCAAGCACGCACACCGCAATAGGAAGAACGAAAGAAAACTGAAGAACAAAAGATCTGTAAGTAGCATAACCAACCCAAACAGAAAGACTATACTAAACCTACAAAGTTCAGGGTTTGACTGCTATATTTCTTTCAGCTGAAAAAATTCAGAGATAATTATTTGTAATAAATTGCTAATTTATTTTAAAATAAATCCTCAAAGCTTAGATTTTGGGAATAGTGATGATCACTATGTATTATTTCATTATAAATAAATAAATAAATAATGAAGATGGCACATTTCTAATGCGAACCACATATAAACAATTAATCATAAACATAAATAAATGTCAAATTAAGTCATGTCATATCCCTGATCTGTTGTGTCCATTCCTTACCACAGCCAGAATCTGAATCCTCCCTGCCTTTTAATCACGAATAGTTATTTCTATGTTGGAACTTGGACATTAAAACAATATTGTATCTCAACTAAAATTCATTTAACTTTATGACTTGGAATTTCCACAGTGAATGCCCATATTTTTCACTCCCTCAATTGTACACACACGACAGTTTTTTAACACAGTTTAAAACAGTTTTTAAACACCCTACTAATGGCTTCTCTTTGTTCCTTTTTGTCTTTCTGAACAGCACAGAGGTGTGTGTTTTGCACTACCAGTTCTCAGCCCAGTTCTATGATGCGTGTTCTGTATTTAGGTCACAGAATTTCTGCAAAGTCATTGGGGAAGCTGGTAAACGTTCAATGCTATGTCAGCATACTACCTGAACAACGAGGAAAATATACTTTCCAGGGAGTGGTCTAAGTTACTCTCTTGTCAGAAGCGTGGGAAAAGAATCTTTATAGATTGGGCAACTACATCTTGACAGAATGAATGCATTTCTATAAATCTATACTCTCCATCAACTTCCATTATAAAGTCAATAATGTTGTGCCACCTCTACACCTCTGTGCTGACACTTTCAATGAATAAAGCCTTCTGTTACCAGCTACCAAGGCACACAGGGCCCCCGGGCAGACCATGGTGTGGTTCCCTGGATGTGTCTTCCACTGCATACCTGCCTGCAGGGTATGCAGACCACCCCACAGCTCCAGGGAGCCCTTCGGTATTCCTCACAGGCAGCTGACCTCCTCAGTGATAGAAACCCGGAGGACTTGTCCCACTTCCCTCTGCTCTGAGCCTAGACAACATCCCACAGGCTGCAATCACGGTACCATGCTGGCCCTAGAGAAGCTACCACCTCAACACCACACAATCTCCAGCCTCTAAAATCCCTCACTTGGAGGCTTCACGCTTTGAAGAACAGACCTACTACCCACTTGATCACTTCTGTAATTTCAAAGTCCACATACTGAGTTTACTTATGACAGCTATCTCTATAGCTAAGCCTCCGGGTAAAAATGTAATTACACTTCTCATGTGTGCTCAGACTGTCCAAACTATTGAAAACCAGGACTGTGCCTTACACATTGATAATAGTAGGGCAAATTGGCTCAATCTGTCTGTAAGACAATCTCGCATCGTATAACAGAAATTACAAAACTGTCCCTACCCTTTGAATCCTTAATCTGACTTTACAGAAAATGCCCCCAAGGAAACAATTCAAAAACTTGTTTTTAAAAATGTTCACTTCAATATTATTTTCCAATACTGAAAAATAAACATAGTGCCAAAAATAGTAATGAGTGAAAGAGCTATAATAAAAATGTTTTATACTACAACCATGAAAAATAAACACTAAATGAATATAGTTGCATATGATGTATACTTTTTTTTTAATTAGAAAGGCACATTTATAGAGAGGAGATAAAGAGAGAAAGATCTCCCATCCATCAGTTCACTCCCCAAGTGGCCACAACAGCCAGAGCTGAGCTGATTCAAAGCCAGGAGCCAGGAGCTTCTTCTGTGTCTCCCACGCAGGTTCAGGGATTCAGGGCTTTGGGCCGTCTTCCACTGCATGGCCAGGCCACAAGCAGGGAACTGAAAGGGAAGTGGAGCAGCTGGGATATGAACTGGCACCCATATGGGATCCCGGCATGTTCAAGGTGAGGATCTTGGCCACTATGCTACCATGCTGGGCTCCAAATGTATAAATTGTGTAAGTTAAAAAGAAAATATACTGAAGCAAATATGTAGTCTAGAAGTTGAGATAGTCACATCCACAATGGAATGTCTAGGTTCGATTTCTATTCTTGACTCCAGCTTCCTACCAGCACTGATCCTGGCAGGTAGCACTGATCACTCAGGTGTGCCATTCACATGGGAGACCTAGACTGTACTCCTAACTCCTGGCTTGGGCTCCAGCCCAGTCACTGCCGTCTCAGGCACTTATAGAATGAACCAAGGCATGGTATGGGCACTCATGCTCTCTTGCTACCTCTTTCTAACTCCCTAATAAAAACAATTTTCTACAGTAAATTTGTAATGGAGACTATCATATCCAGATGTGAGGATACAATGCAGTATGCATCTCTATTTCCAGACAAAGATGGACTCCCAATTAAACTGTTTACTATATCTTCTTAATAGGATGCTGAACCTGGCTACTGTCCCTGCCCACAATGATGGACATATGACTGTGTATGAAGAACTATAATTTAGTAATGATATAGGGGAACTCAGGGAGGGGGAAGGGAATTGGAGAGGGGATAAGGAAAATTCCAGGGCCTATGGAACTGTATCATAAAATGACAATAAAAAAAAAAAAGTAAGTACTTTGGGCCCAGCACAGTAGGCTAATGGCTAAAGTCCTTGCCTCGAACACACCAGGAACCCACATGGGCACCGGTTCTAATCCCAGCAGCCTTGCCTCCCATCCAGCTCCCTGCTTGTGGCCTAGGAAAGCAGTGGAGGACAGCCCAAAACCTTGGGACCCTGCACCCATGTGGGAGACCTGGAGAAAGCCCCTGCTTTGAATTGGCTCAGCTCAAGGCATTGCAGCTGCTTGGGGAGTGAAGGCTCAGACAGATCTTCCTCTATCTCTCCTCCTCTCTGTATATCTTACTTTCCAATAAAAATAAAATAAATCTTAAAAAAGTAAATACATTCATAAATGGATACAAGTCAAGAGATCCAGTTTATATTTTGAAGTTAATTCATCATTTCCTATAAATTGACCAAAAATAAAGAGTAGAAAGAATAATTTTGCACTAATGCGTTAAAAAATGATCTATTCAGTTAAAAATAACTGAAAAGCCCTTGATTTTTAGAAATTCCTAAAAACATACATATATAAACAGGCATATATATTTACATTGTAATGCATGCAAATATAACAATGTCTAGATGGATGTGTAATACACAGCAAAAATCTTTACACCATCACAACTTATGTTTTTGTCAAGAATTAATCTTAATTCATCTGACTTACTCCAGTACATTTCTTTGGCTGTGGCCTACTTTTGTGCTGTAAAGAGGAAAGAAAAAAAAAAAAAAAACACCTAAAGAGAATTGAGATTTTCCTGCAGAATGCAAACTACTTAAACAGCTTTTAAAGTGAAGCAACTTTTTACTCTCCTTAAAGCTCCTTAACACTGCCGTCTGGATCACTGGACGGAGAAACACAGTAGACAGTCATAATAACCCACACCTGTAAAAGGTCTGTTGATTTTCTGCAATGGAGCAGACCTAGAAGGACCCCTTCACACACATCCAGCCTTGGCCCAGTGGGTTCACTGCCTGGAAGAAGGGTGTGTTCAAACCAAGGCTTCTTGAGTCACAGAACAAACAATGCCCTGCAAGGTGCTGACTCTGC